TTCAGCTGATTTTTTGTTTCTTCCAAACCATGCTCACTTCTTCAGTTTATATGCATTTCGAGATTGGCTCTTGCGTCATCGAGCTTCTTCTTGTCACGAGTGCGCACTGTAATAGATTTCCCGACTCCGCCGAACATCATTATATATTGTAAACGCTCGTTATTCTCGGAAGAGACGTATAGAAGAAATGCTTGTGTTTGGCAGGAGGCTTATATCGCTGACCCCGGAAAGGTCTAAATTTAAATTTTACGATCTCATAAAGCACAGCAACAGGCACCCAAAACATAACACACTGCCGAATTCTTTATTAGACAAGGTTGGAGAAACAGACGCCGAGAGTCTTAGAACTATAGAGGATAATGAGGCCTCAGAGGCAAAGGTCAAGGCTGCTGAAGCCAAGATAGCCAAAGTTTTTGGCGGAAGAATCAAGGGTGAAGATAGACAAAGCTCGAGCCGCATAGATGTGGGGAAACCTCGAATTATAGGAGGGATTAAAGTACCAGATAGGCCGAAAGAACCTGATAATTGCTGTATGAGTGGGTGTGTAAACTGTGTCTGGGAAATCTATAATGATGACGTGAAAGATTGGAACATACAACGCAAGAAGGCAGCTTCACAACTTGTGGCCAAAGGCGGGGTTTGGCCCGAGGATTTTCATCCACCTATCGAGCTTCTAAGACCAGAAAACCTTCCCGAATCTATAGCGCAAAGAGCCAGGACAGAAAACCCCGAAAAAAACGAGGAGCCATGGGAGAAAGTGCCGGTACAGATCCGCGTGTTTGCAGAGATGGAGAAACGGATCAAGTCCAGGAAAAAGTCTGCTTCCACGTAATTAGACTTCTCGAAGCGGAAGTCAAGCAGGAAAGGGATTTTTCACTGTTCTCTATGTGGAAACAGAATGAGTTTTGGCCAGTCCATAATATCTGACTCTTGATAGGACATCTGCAAGACAATATCGTCCTTGTATGGCTCAGTCGGCCGCATATTGAAACTACAGAGACCTTCATTACGGTTTTGAGACCTCACAAACTCAAACCCAACCCAGGCATACACCAGTCATCCGTGACTCTATATTTATTCATTCAATGTCATACTTAAGCATCCAAGTCAACGCCCTTACTCTGGTAGAAAGCCTTCGCCTCATCAATCTGCTGCATTAATTCTCTGTAGCTGCCTTCTTTATTCTTGAAGGTGAGCACTCCCCAGCCCAAAGTTCCCAAGGCGTAGGCGCCGAATGTGACCAAGGCCCAGAAGGGCAAGTAAGGCAAGATTTCATCGTGAATCAACTCACCGGTGGGGATCAAGCCGGAAACAAGCGCAAAATAGATAGCGCCGACGGCAAAAAATGCCACAAATGTCTCAGTGGCTTTCGTCATTATGTTCGTCGTGTGAAATTTCGAAGCTCCATACATAGACACGTGTTGACTTGCGTGAGTGCGGGTCGGTGGTGTGCACATTGGCTAAAAGTCACCGGTACGTTTACGGGCTGCAAAAGACGAAGGCCACAGCATGCCACGAAACCTAATTTATGAGAGGGAATTACTACTTGAGGAATTGATCAGTACTTTTTCTGTATCACACCAATCTTGAATTTCGAAAAAAAAAATAGGATGTCTTCAAATTTAGAATGCTTTTAATTAAAGTATTGTCTTAAGTTTTTCTACAGGTCCTTTCAATTTCTCATGCCTTTTCCACTATGATCGATTCAACGCGTCTTGCTTGATCAAGCCAACGAGCGAAAGCAATTTTGCGGCGGACTCCTCATCCACCTGCTTTACGCGATTGATCACATCTTCTTCGCTCACGGAGGGCACCAATACGTCAAATTGCGCGGCGCCATTCTGCGCGGCCTCGTCCGCGTCATCATCGTTTTGGGCCACGCCTTGATCGTCTTCGTCGTCGTCTTCGTCTTCATCATTTTCTTCGACGAGCCTAGTTGCATCGTCGTCATCGCGCCTGGCGTCCTTTAAGGTATGGTCGGTGGCAATGATTCGTGCGATATCCTCAGGCTTGATTGACTGCTCGAGCTGAAGCTGGAGTAACTTGTAACGGATGATGCCTCGGATGGTACCCATCATCTGCCGCGTGACCCATCCATCTTGGGAATCCGGCGCTTCTCTGAAAAACTTGCCTGCATTTTGCGCCTCTGCGATCGCTTGCTGCACATCAGGATCAATGATTTCGCCCAAGTGATAAATTATGGTCAGGGGGACTTTATTGCCCGTGAATACTAGGCTCTCAGAAATCTCTACATCGCTCTCTGGGTATGACAGCGAGAGCGTGTGCAAGGGCACTTTTTTGACTTCTCTCAGTGACTCTCTGGCCTGAGGCCCCGGCAGACGGAAGTACTCGCTCTGATATAACCAATAAGACCGATCCGCTGTCGGGTCTACACCCAACTTCACGTTACAAAACCGCCAGGGCCCGTTCTTATAGCAATATGACACGTACGGAAGCGCTTCCTTTACTGCCAGCTTGAGGTCCTCCGGCATGACGTCTATCAACAGTTTGCGAAGCCAGACCGGCTTCAAGGAGAAAAGCTTGTTCAACTGGATGATGCATTCATATAGCTTCCTCTCGGCCCACTCGTTTGACAAGTCTGTTCTTTGAAGCCAGCTGAACTTGGCAACGATCTCCGGCAAAGGCTGGTGTGGAACCACACCTTTGTGATAGTCCACAGTGTTTGTAAACAATTTTTTGCTGTCGGTCTTCATCACCACTTTGACGTCGCCCGAATCCCCGCGGATCGCAACAGTGAACGGCGATTTCTTATACTTGTAGTCATAGGGAAATTTGGTCGCGCTGAAATGCGGAGGTGGGATCAATTGATGGTCCTTGTTTTCGTACATGCTTGGGTCCTTATGCTCATCGTTTTTTGTAAGCTGAGACTCGTAAAATTCTTTTGCATCCGCAAATTTGGCACTTTTAAGCACCTGTTGATTGAACTTCTGCACAGCTTCATTGTTCTTTGTCGACATTTGGAAATCTGCCATTGCCCTGAAGTTGTAGTTTTTGTTCACAATCAGCACCGGTTCTACTTTATGAACCGGCCCCCTTTTCTCTTTGTTCATCTTGATTAGCTCACGAATCAGGTATTTCCCAGGATTGTCATGGTAGTCGGCAGGGAGCGACAGTTTTGGTATACCGACTTTGATCAATACCTTTTCCCTCCTGTTCAGAGACGCAGGCACTGGGTGGTGGAAGGGGTCATTCCTTAGCCGCAATTCAAGATTACGATCGTCGACGGCATGACTGGAGACCTGGATCGGCAGAGGGCGGTACTGTGAATTAATAGCCATGCGTATGCGTTCCTTCCCACCAAGCATGCCAATGGCTCGGTCAGTGTTTCTCACATTGAGAGGCAACTCAACTGCAGTCACATGTGGAATATCTAGTGGGTATCTTGCAGCGTGCGCCTTGTCCATGATAGAGAAAAAGCAGTTGGCTTGAAAAAGGAAAGGTGAGGGTGAGAAGTCAAAAGCTTCGTATGTCGGTGTTATGATCCTGGAATGGAGAGAAAAAAAATTGCCTTCAGCCAGATTCGAACTGACGATCTCCTCATTACTAGTGAGGTGCCTTACCAACTTGGCCATAAAGGCTCACGAGCGAATTTCACCGTTGGCACGTTATACCCACGTCGGCGACTTAATAGAAAGCGTGTTTTGTCACTTTTGTCGCTTTTCGTCCGCTACACTAAGAGGATGAATGCAATCACAAGCTGCGCTCTCGAACAGATTGCTCTTTACTCAAATACAATAAAACTTTTGAGAGAATAGAGAAGAATAAAAAGTTCGGGAAGGTGATGGGTTCTCGCTATCCAGCAGATCTTTCGGAGACGCATTGTCCATGTCTCTTCGTGGCGTGGACGAGCATGCCGCTTTTACCTACACCAATTTCTTTATATAGAAGAGTGGGGTGTGTGAGACACTCGGATGAGAGCGGGCTGTAAACAATTTTTGAAAAAGAAATTACAAGAGACTCTTGAAAAGACACATTTCACAGTTCAGCATCCAAACGCGTTAATTTCCAGCTGAGATCATAGCTCGTGGAACCAAAGAATCGTATAGAGCCGAGTAATGGTGAGATTGGGCCTGTCGGCCTTGTGATGCATGTGCAAAAGATGGAAAGCCCTTCTCTAAGAGATTGGGGATGACGACTTGCGCAAGATTAGACATCGCCGCAAGTATTTCACATTTGCTTTCACTGCTTTTTCGGTTTATCGCAGAAATCGTGCTGAATTGTCTAAATCAATACCGAGCCAAATATTTTGCACGTACCCTATATGTGTTGATGCCTGGATCATGAGCCGGGCCAGTTCTAGCCTCACGCGCTAGGTGGCTTTGGCCCGATTACATTCATACAAAGTTTTCGAGCAAAATTAAGAGAAATTGATACGTCTAGTACGCTAAAGCTTTTAAAGATGTCGACCTGGCAACACTTGGTTTGGATGTATCGATACCAGCTGTGGTGTCGATTTTGCAGCAATAGAGCCGGAAGTATTTTGCAATCGTCGCACATCTCACATTATTGTTTTGCTTGGTAAATTTTGCTTACTTACAGGTGCAAATAATATGCGCAAAAACTATACAACATGTAAAAAAAATCCTAATTTTTGCCAAAAAGGAAGGTCCCTTATAAGCAGGTCTCCTGTATATGAATACACATTTCCATATAAACGCTTTTCTTTTGTAGGAACCATTCTCCTAAGAAGTATCTGCATCTACCACTGTATATGTGGGACCCGTGCACAAGTTCTCTTCCAGCGCTCAACTCGGGGGTTTGCCCTCACAAATAGGGAACTGAAGTTGATAAACACAAGAGCCGCTGAAACTTTGAAAAAAGAGGTATACAGTATCCACTCGGATTCAAACCCATGAAAGACAACTTATGGAACGATTGTGTCCTGACCCATCATGGTTTCGTACCAAAGAGCAGTGAAATGGGCGCATTTTAAATGTGTAAGACTAGTCTAGTTCAAAATATGTTCTTAATATCCAAAAGCGCAAGTGGTTTAGCGGTAAAATCCGACGTTGCCATCGTCGGGCCCCCGGTTCGACTCCGGGCTTGCGCATTTTTTTTTTTTTTTTTTGTTTTGTTTCTTGAACCAAAGTAAGTTTTGATATCTGATGTCTAGTGTGATTCATATTGTTCCGGTAGAGTTTAGACAAAAACACATATGATGTGAAAGGATTGCGTTGCGCAGATATATGCACCGCGCAAGCGTCTATAGTGCAAGTCGGGTTTGAAATTTTGTATTCGAGGAGGCAGCCTTCTCGATCACGAAACGTTCGTAAGGCTCCCCCGTCACATTTCACATTTCACATTACTTGTCATCGAAGAGGACTTTGCGGGATTGCCCAAGTTTGTCAGAAAGAATTTGAGATGGAAGCTGTAAAAGCAGTAAATTATTATGCCCATTGCATTCACCACTGACGGAGAATATCGCTACTCAGACCACCTGATAGATAAGCGACTTTTGTAAATTATCATTGACATCCAATTTCAATTTGAGACTAGCAGTGCCGATATTAGAGAATTTTCTATTACGAACAAGTGGTATGCAGTATCAACCACATACAGGAATCATACATGATAAACATCATCGTCAATATATTAATAATCTTGGGGTGAAAGGAATGAGGTTGACGCTTGACAGTATGGAAGATCATGTAGAAAACGTTCGTGACTGGGCTTGCCGAACATCCCCATGCCCCGGACTTATCCGGTTAAAATTTCGGAGGGTCCTGCACAGGCAGCATTGCTAAACGCACGAAGCTCCGGGGCTGCCTCAAGGCGCAAATAAATGCTTATGAGATGGTTGTGTTTGTCGAATACGCGTCGAGAGCCGGAAGCAGACAGTAAGGACTTGGGTTCGGCAGTGTGGCGGGAGGGCAGGAGCTCTTGCCTCCTGTATGGAAAACGCCGACATAAAAGTCTGGCTCTTCACTCTTAGACCTTATACTGTATTGCCCTCGTCATTCGCAATTTCAAGCCCTGTTCACTGTGTCGTGTTGCACAGCCCAAAAGCTTTATCATAAGCCAGAACGCCTCCCTATGAATTTCTTGACAGCACTGTAGCCCAGCACGCAAATGCCCTCTCAGCGGCTAAGCCAACCCTGTCTTGTCAGGGCGGAGAATGTCAAGGGCAAGTCACGTCATGCATGTTGGCGCTCTATGCAGCTTGTACAGATCACCGCATTTGATTAAACGCATCTCTCCCCATCTCAATTACGAGGTGTCTGTCTCTGATTTTGGCTAGTTCCTCACGGACAGCTATATCAGGTACTAGATGTGCATGTATGACTCATGGGAAATCATTGGCTTGGCTTGGCAAGTTTTCTTGGCTAAACAGTTTTCTTGTGGCCGGTATGTGTGACAAGTTAACCATTGCTGCTTAGCCAGGAGACATATGATGGATGGCTCATAACCTCATCTGTTGCCCTGCATGCATTGCAAGATGGACTCAACTTTCAAAAAGTGACCTTTTTTTCTAGGATTATAGGGGGTCCTTTCGGGTAAGTTGAAAATAAAGGCAGTTGCGTGCTTTTCGTTTGCCAGGAAAGAGTTCAAAAAATAATCATTGATTTTGGTTGAAATGGCATATGCTCTAAACCATGATGATTTGCTATTCCCTATTATCATCCGTACATCGTGCCTTATGAAAAAGGAGCAATGCTAGGCACCGGCTGTGCTGCTTGCCCGAAAGACGATGTGAGCCGTACAGGAAACAGATTCGAAGGTGTTCCCGAATTATGCTTTGAGCGACTAGTTCAGTTCTTGCATCCCCGACTAGTTTCTGACACACTTTCATCTTTCCTCGAGTGTTCTGCAATACCATTCTCGCTCTAGTCTTACGATGACTTTAACACATAATTTTTAAGTATAATCGATAAATGTGAATGTCGGCTGGCGTGGAATGTGGACCCTTTTTCTTGCACTTTTACGTAACCTTTCACCTTACGAGGTACATGCACTCCAGCCTGACAGCTCTTTGGTCGCACTTTTCATATAAAGCCGATTCGCTCTGCCCCAAACCTTCTCCACAAGCACCGTTAATCACATTATCACAAGGGCTTGCTACATAGCTTGCAGACTTTTATTTATTATTCACACCGAAACGCTCGTTTAACGTTGTCTGTTGCTCGCTAGAATTCAGTAGCCGTTACTTCGATTCAACATGGTGCTGACATGTGGCACGGCTACAGCCTTCAACGGTGCATTCATGCCTGCCAGAATCGCGTCAGTGTTTGTTTTACTTGTGTTGTCTGCTGCTGGGTCTTTTTTTCCTCTTCTCGCCGTGAACTTTAAATTCTTTCGGATTCCAGACATCGTCATATTTGTTACGAGGTACTTTGGCAGCGGAGTCATTGTTGCAACCGCTTTCATCCATTTATTAGGCGAGTCACAAACCAGTCTCAGTCATCCTTGCGTGGGCCATATCTTCGAGGAGTATTCGTGGGCCGCTGCATTCTCGTTGATGGGTGTCGTTACAATGTTCACAATCGAGGCGTTCACTCACAGACGTTTAGACCACAAGAACCGTCGGATCATTCCGCAAGATGACGACGGATACTCGAATGAAAGTGTGAAAAATGAATGTTGCGAAATCACAACAGAAATAAACACCACTGCAGCCGAAACCTCTGGGGAAGAGTCTCGTGACGAGTCGGGCGGAACAGGATCTTCACTGAGTAACGAAGCTGCTGCGAAATCACTGAGAGAAGCCGTGTTCAAAACAATAGTAAGTATTTATCTTCTTGAATTTGGTATTGTGTTTCATTCGGTGTTTGTGGGTCTTTCTCTTGCTATTGCTGGAGAGCAATTTCAGACGTTGTTTGTGGCTATTTCTTTCCACCAATTCTTCGAGGGAATGGGCCTTGGTGCCAGATTTGCGACGGCAAAATGGCCAGCACATTTAAAGAGAATGCCATGGTATCTTTCTGGAGCGTATTCGATCACAACGCCTATCGGAATTGCCGCCGGCCTCGGCGTGCGCAACTTATACCTGGAAAACAGTCCAACGTCGCTCATTGTGGTGGGTGTGTTCGACGGCTTCTGCTCTGGGTTATTGATCTACAATGCTTTGGTGGAACTAATGGCCAGAGACTTCATTAACGACCCCGAAATGAAAGGTGTTAGTCACTCACGCTATGCACTCGCATACGTGATGTTCTTACTTGGTGCTTTGATGATGGCTATCGTTGGAAAATGGGCTTAGAATAATCTAAGGATCGGTTTATTAGGAGTTCTTCAAATACATACATTCGGATGGTAGACAAGCAAACGTGAGCGATTCGTCGCATCAGGCAGAATTGATAGATAGTGCAAGAATGAGAAAAAGAGACGGCTTCATGAAAGCGAAAAAACCTTTTGAGGTATTTGTTTTGGTCTAATCTCATTTTTGTCTTCAGATATATTTCGTCGTTTCGGTCGTGGGATGTATTGATTGAGGTTGGCATAGAGTTAAACTTGCACGACTACGCCTCAAGATGTTAATTGTCAGGATACTTAAATGTAATCGCTACATAAGCACGATCATTAATTGTGAGCAGATATTGAAAGTAGAAGCCGGACTTTTCAGAAAGGTGGTAATTCTGTAGATGCGTGAACTCGTTCATAAAAAAAAGGGGAGTCAACGACCGGCCGAAGACGTGAGATATAGACGACTCACGGCGAAACGCAAATGGCGACTTGATAGAATCTTGTTATAAAAACAAAGACATTAGGTACTACGGACTATAGCGAAGATACCATGTTGATGCCAGGCCTCGCCCACTGTTTTGTCCATGAGCGGAAAACGGAAGAGCGGCCGAGGTGCTTACACAGGCTAACTCAAGTATCGGCTACATATAAAACTCGAATGTCACCTTTTTATGGCAAAAAGAAGCCATATATTTGATTGTCAGCCTATTTGTTCGAATCTGCCTGTTTTTTCCACTCCATTTGAATCTGGAATCTCCATCATCGATTGGCCGATTAAATGGCTCGCTGCGTCGCCTGTCTACGCCCGGAGCCACGCCGTCACACGCGGCCCCACAATCCCCCGCCTAATCTTTCCCTGCGATCTCCAAAATAAGCCGTCGAATCTCCAAAATAAACCACCTGCGGCAATCCTTAGTCAGCCATGGCTTCGCCTGCAGCTACCACCCCATTCGGCCATGATGATGGTGGCACAAAATTGTTTGGCATGGAGAACTTCGGCAACACATGCTACTGCAACCTGATTCTTCAATGTCTCTACTACACCACGAAATTTCGCCAGCACGTTTTGCAACACAATCCGTCTCCGCACGAGCGGCGGCTAGAAATGCCAGGCACTGCCCCTCACGCTTACACGGCCAAATATGAGCAACTTCTTTCGAAGAAAATGAAGGAAAAGGGGCGGCCGCATACCCCGCTACCGGAACCGCTGGCTGCGGTGGGAACGCCGCCGGCACGGCCGTCAATGAGGAACTCTTTTTTCGGCAAGTTCAGCTCTCAAAACACACCGGTTGTTGGGGCCGAGGAAACCTCTCTGGTGCTCATTTACAAAGATAAAGGGTTTATTCAGGAGGCTGGATGTTGCGAGTCGCTCTCCACAGAACAAAGGCTCATTATCCGCAAAAATCCAGACTTCCGTCAGCTTCTGCTTCTCGTAACGCGGCCATCATCCAGCGCTGCTACGGAGATTAGAAACGATCTGTCAGTATCGCTGTCGCTTTTGATAGAGCCCAGCATCGCCTCCAGCATTACATCGAATTTCGCAGAGCCCTCGCCCGTATCATCCACTTCCAGCTATGTGGTCATCGGTATTCCTCATCCGGAACCAGGGCTTTCTACGCCTATAAATCCATTCAACCCGAATCCGTCGGCAGACCATCGGAAGAGGCTGGCACTCATCAATGGGCTGATTCTCAATGTGGACCACCCGTTTCTGGAAGACTCGGCATCTGATGACAAGTGCCTATTATATGCACTTAAAGACATCTTTGAAGCAATGAGTGAGAATCAATCGCAAATTGGCGTGGTTTCGCCACTGTATTTCATCAAGAAGTTGAAGGAGAAAAACTTCTTGTTTCGCCAGGCAAATAT